AACGCCTGGGGCCTCCGGCCTCGGCGGATACATCCGCAAAAGCTTGGGGGTGTGCACACAAGAAATGCGAACAAGCGCGCAAAGGCTGACTCATCCGAACAGCAAGTCGCGCGATCCGACTTTTATCATGGGCCCCTGCTTTAGGGCTGCATCTCTTTCTCTTGCTTTGCTTGTCGTGAGCAGTGAGTAAGAGCTGTTCGTGTGCAATGCACAAGTCGGGCTCGTTTTGTTTGGTTTCTTCGTCGGTGGGTTGAGCGGGCTCTTTCGATTGTAGCTGCCAGCTGTATGCACCCCACTGCCTTCCTCGTCGCGGTCATTTGGATCTTTGCCGCACGACCCAAGTCAGGACAAGACGCTGAAGGGCTCTTTGCCGCAGGCGGACTGTTGCTTCGAGCAGTAGTTGAGACAGTTCTGCCCAAGTCGAGCATGTGGGACCATGTAGGAGCTATGTTTTGAGCCGTGCGTAGAAGCGTGCTACAGGCACGGCTTGTTGTGGAACCGAACGGAATCACCGCAACCAGAAATGTGTCGCAGCTTCAGGAGATGGAAGAAGCAGAGCGCACAGCGCTGTCGAGCATGATTGATTTCCTTGTCTGACTCCCAGCATTCTCTGACGTTGTGTTTACATGTCCTGCCAACTTTGAAGCTTTCCCGCTGCGGTCCGCTGCCGCTGTTTCCATTCCGGCCGTGGCTTTGTTCTCGTTGTTGTTGGTGGTGCTGTTGCTGGTCCTGGTGCTGGTGATGGCGCTGGCATTGACAATTGAAGCTGTTCTTGTCGTGGTCGTGGTCGTGGTCGTTGTCGTTGTCGTTGTGGTTGTTGTTGCTGTTGGCTGGTGTGTGCTCTCTTCTTACTCGTATCGCTCTCTGTTTCTGTCATTGTGCTTGTGCGTCTCTGTGTCTATGTGCTGCCTTTTTGCAAGTGTGTGCGTCCAAATGCTTGCGTGTGTGTGCGCGCCTGTGTGCCGAATGTGTCTGTGTTTGGCTCTGTGGGTAGCTGACAGCGCATGCGTGTTCGTAATTGACCATGTCCAATCGCAGCTGTCTGGTTGACCACGCCTTCTGGGCTTCGTGCTTGGAATGATCAGAAGCCTTCTCGGCATTAAGGTACCGGCATTGGTGTCTCACGTGCAGAAGCAGTGCAGAACTGTTCCGAACTCGGCTTGATCGAGGGTATGGGACACCTGGACCCTCTGAAGTCAGATGTGAAGGCACGGTGCATGCATTCGGGTCGAAGTTAAAGCTTTGGAGGTTAGGATTCTCATCTAGCTTGCGCTTTGTCTGCGAAGCAAATCTCAGATCCGACGAGCCGACTGTAAGGTATCGCCCGTCCAAGAACAGAACTTGGTGCAAAGCTTCTTAGTGCTCCTGACGACGCACTTGGAAAGCGGCTACAAGGACGCGGAATGCCCGGTGTTTGGGAACCCTCCCAGGTTGGGCTCTTGAGAAGAGGACCGCAAAAGATCGATGCAGGTCAAGGCTGCAAGCCCAGTCCAGATTACCGACAGTGCTAGACTGCTAGACTCTAGACCAAAAGGCTATGATTTGGGGACAGGATCCAAGCATGAGCCGCGATGCTGTGGACGGTAAAGCCATCGTGGCCATGGTTGATTGCACCGACCTCGGAGCTTCATCGGCTTTACTTCTGAGGCTTCTCTTGTGGATTCCAACAAAGCCTCGGGCCTATAGGGCGCATGGAGGGCAAAGATCTTTTGCTGCATGTGGGTGTGGGAGGGCATGCCGCTTTTCCCGTTATTCCAACTGCGTTTATCCAGCATGATGATGCTGCGCCGCACAGCAGCCGTTCCGTCAACAACGTCACGTACTTGGTCACCAGCTCGATCTCTGTCGACATTTTGCAGGTTTCGCGGTTAATGCTCTTCGGTTGATGTGCGAGACTGGACTTCAGGGCTTCGGTTTTGGCACGGCTTGGACCTTCAGAAAGAAATAGTTCTGCACAGGAGCTTTGATTGTGTGCCTCATCCAGGTTACGCGATCTGGTGCGCTATCTGGTCCTTCGGGGCGGTTTGCGAGCCGCACCGGCAGCTATTGCATGCAGGGCATCCTTCATCCCGCGCACAGCTCGCATCAGCTTCTAGTGACCACTGGTTATTCATATCATTCTAGTTCAGCGGTGGGGTTTGGGGCACGCGAGTGCTAGCAGCTAGCAGCATGCACGCGACAATGTTTGTACGTCAGCTTCGTCAGTCCACTCTGTGCCAACATGTACTGGGAAGTCCTTCAATCCGAGCCCCATGACCTAATCCGCGGGGCTGAGCGATTTTGTTATTTCCGCGAGGGCCGCTCGCCGCAAGCACCCTGGCCAGGACCACCAGCCGGTCCTCTTTCAGCCAGTTCCTCCGCAAGTTGCTGACAGGGCAGGCGGGCCGCGTCGACTGTCCGGGATAATGTGGTTAGCCTGAGCCGGGGTACTTCAGCAAGTGCTCGTATTAAGTGCTCATCGTCCTTCCCTTCTTAAGGTTTTTTGGCCACGATGTTGCCGAGAACCTAAAATGATTTTGACCAAGCGGGTTTGAATCCACCCGTGGTGTCGAAGATGCAGCGGCCGAAGTTGAGGGCTCGGATGTATCATGAAGGCCGTGTCTGGAATGCTGAGCTCTTGAAGCTCAGCCCGTGCTGTTCTGTGCATGCGCCCGGCATTACGCGACCTTGGAAAGGTCGAAAACAACAAGCCACACAAGAAGCCGGGGACCCATGTTTGATGGTGGTCCAAGAAATCCCAGGGCACCTAGAAAAGCCTGAGACGCTAAACCGTGCAGCCCGAAGCCTTCAAGCCCAAACTCCGTCCTGAGGCTACAGCCAAACCTCCCTGATCGTGGCTCGGTCTTCGACTACATTGTGGACTTGAAGCAGCCAGGCCCGTGCTCAGAGGGGTGTTAAACGAAAGACTGGGTGCACGGCTGGGCTCCCCGCTTGCACAAATCAGCCGAGAACGAATTCGAACGAATCAACGAGGCTGGACCACCTGGATGGACACCGTGGAGGCCCAGACCATCCCCAATTCGGCCCAGGCCGGGCCAGGCCGTGAGGGCCGTGAGGGCCGTGAGGGCAGGTCAGGAGTCGCCGCCACTGAAACCGGGGTCTCTGCAAAAGCGCTCGTACCGAAATCACTTGGGGAGGTCTGATTTGCACAGCTGCCTGACATCACCATGGCAGCTGCGAAGGTGCAAAATATCATCGTGCAGACGGTGGACAACGTCTGGCACCTATCGCATTCTTCGCCATGACAGAGGGAGAGAGATGAGCACGAAAGGAAATGGATGTGAAGGTCAGGTGCTTTTCGGCAATTCACCACTAGTCTGCTTCCGGCCGGCCGAAGGATTTGCAAGCGAAGGAGCTGCACCACTTGAAATCCGGGCCGTGGGCAGATTCCGAAAGCTTTGATTACTTTGCAATTGCCGGAAGACCTTTGCTTCGTTTTGCTCTGAGGTGCGCTACCGCTACATCCTTGAGCACTGCAGCTCGGCCAAAGAACGCGCGGCAAAGGTTTCCAGGGCTTCTGACCCAAAGTGCGTCCACTGCCCTCAGCCCAAAGCAGGTCGCTCCTAGGAAGTTCGATCTGGTAACCTGTATCGCAGCCCGCAGGAAAGCCAGGAAAGCAGAATTTTCCACGTAGTTTGTGAGGATAAGGAACCGCATGGCCAGGTATCAAGCATCGCATCAAGCTGCTTTTCTGCGGTCCCACTGGAACGGGTCGCGAACTCATTTGAGGGCTCCAATGGGGTTTCGTCAAGCGCACCATGATTCACACACTCGCACACTGCGATGTCTCACCACACCGACACTACGAGCATCGGTATGCTGACGTGCGGACGTGGAACCTGTTGGGCTTTGTGCTGCGTGCCCGTCGTGCACGCAGCTAAGCCCAAGAACCACCCGAACTGTGCAACCTGCTTCATATTGGGACTGCCACGATTCTTCCGCTCTTGGAAACATGGGTTGAGGGTCCCAGGCGTGGAGAGCTAAGGCCCACAAGTCTCTGTCGGGGGCATGAGAACCTAGATCGTGACGTGAGCAGCATGAAGCTATGTCGAAACATCGTGAGGTAAGGATGAGTGCACCTTCAGTAGATTTCAGATGATTTCATTTTTCGCCGGCAGTGGCATACTCGAGCCTTGGATCGCGTGTTGTCGATGTTCAGGCTCTTGAGGCTCAAGGCCTAGGCTGCCTAGGCTTGATAGAGACTTGAGGAGTCGCTCGGTCTTCAGTCATGTTCCTGAGGCAAGACCGTCTACATGCAGCAGGTGCGAAATTCAGATTGCATTTCAGACTTTTCGGCGCGGGGCAGCAACCTTAAAGCACCCATTTCGAAGTAAGTACATTGCACCACGAACCAGAGTCGATGTCGTAGCTTCACGGTTACTCAATCGGAATCGCTCTAGTTGGGCCCGGTGGCTGCGTCATCTATGGCGATCGTTTAGCGTTCCATTGCTTGCTAAACATTCGCTCTCTTGGCTCAGGCACTGATGGCGATGCCCAAAGAGACGCACCTCGCCTTGTTTGTTTGGCATCTTCCATAGATCATAGAACGCATGGACCTTTTTACAGCTCCTACCTGTAACGACGCACGGGTTGGCTTAGGGTTGTTACAGGCTGGGTCTGGAAAGCCTGAATCGAAGGAGCAGTCCATGAAACAAATTGATATGCTAAAGGCGATAGGTTCCATTCGGAAGAGATGAGCTGCCTGCATTTCCGTTCTTTCTGTGTGGTGGATCATGTGCAGAAGATACCTTGCCTCTAAACTCCAAAGTACGGTATGTCTGCCTAGACAAGCCTCAAAAATATTGAATCTCGTAGTCTCCGCTTCTGATGCAATTACCAGGCACATGTCAATCCAGATCGGATTCTCCGCTCAGACGAAATGCTCGCAGACGCAGGAGAGAGAAGCCGGGCAAGGAGGGCATCCATGAATTAGATTTGGGATGATTGGGGTTTGGAGTGTTTGCGAGGTCCACCACCTCCGATCCCGAAAGCGTAGGGCCACAGGGTTGAGTCGTGGTCAGCCCGGGAGTTTGATGAATGTCTTGGAGCATAACCCCTGACGGCAAAGTCGGCAAAACTGTGAAGACTCAAAAGATGATGTGGATGCTCAGCTCCATCTTCACTGAGGTCCTTGTAGGGGTAGGGCATTTGATTCCCTTCTGCAGCATGGCCTGGTTGATTTGGGTCTAGAAGCTTCTATTCTTGAGGCGCAGCATGCGTCATTGTACGAAGCCTTTGGTTTAAGCTGTCCTTTGTGGCAGCTTTATCAGTCTTCAGCCCACATCTTCTACGCTTACGCTGGGAGTGCGGCTGTACTCAGGGTGGCTTCCCGCTGCTCTGAGTCCGCTGGGCTTACATGGAAGTGTGACCCAGACTTTCGTCGTAGCCCGTGGGTTGCACGTTTCCTCACCGTCGGGACTCGTTTTCGATTGTCACCATCGTGTTGCAACTGATGTGCCCACGATTGGCATCGGTTTTCTCCCATGTACACCACAGGTGTAACATTTTACTGAGAGAAAGGTTCGTGCTCCCGCGGAACAAACATCACTTTGCATGCATTGCTTTGTGCCGTAAAGATTTTTATGAATCCCAGCCCATGTGAAGGATCTGGTTGACGCCAAGCTGGAGCGGCGACGGAAAGGAATCTATGGTCCGCCCATGGGCCGTGGCCTTGGCATTCTGCCTTATTCAGCATTATTCGCTTGGAGGGGCTGAAAAGCCTCGAAGCTGGAATCTTGGAACCACTTTCCAAAGTGCACTTCTTGACGGATGATGCCGTCAATAGTGACAAGTTAATTCGTGTTGTTGCCGAGCCATTCTAGGCTGCAGGACTACCTTTTTGCGACCCAGCTGCTCTTAGCAGCTGCGGTGCCCAGGCCGGATGTGCGTTGTCATGGTGGACGATCTCAACATGCCTGTGAAGGCGCTGGCCACAGCACTTGTCGCGGGGGGAGAGGGGCACAGAATTGCCAAATATTTGGGATGGGATGTAGGCGTCGTGAGCCCTCAAGATTTAGGGCGACCCAAACACCTGGTAGCATTTCACGTGCCTCCGAGGAGAAGTATGGGGCCATGCCCCCCATCGAGATTCTGCGGCAAAGCATGGCGAATGCCTCGACTATAGGTCCTATGTTCTGAAAAGGTTGTGAAGGTGGGGGGTTCTTCAGTAGACCTTGTTTCGGCGCAGTGCATGGCAGTGCTGCATCTTAAATTTTGACTGTCAACCTCAGCCCATCCAGCTAAAGAGTTCGGGAACTTTCAGTGACCATGCGGGCTGGAAGCAGCTGAAGTCTGAGGTATCCCAAGTTCCAATACCCCAGGTTTGTCCAACTTGCATGCCGCTTTGGCAGTTCAGCTGTGATCCTGCTCCTGATGCAGACATTTGCAGGCAAGGGCCATGCGTAGTTCCCAAGCCTCAGGACAGAGGAAGTTCAGGTTTCCGGTAGTTCTACGCACCTATTTCTGTTTTCAGGATGAGAGGCTCGAGTCTATCGAGAACCTGAGAAGAAGCGGGGATGGCTCTTCGTTCGGTGCAGGGCTTGGGTGAGTATTGAATTGGGTTCATCGCGCCAAAGGCTTAAACTTATCTCGCTATGATGGGCATCGCGGGTCAAAAGCGGCAACTGAGATCCTTCCCTTTTCCAGCCATGGCTCGGCCGGCGCTTTGCCTTCTTGCACAGTTGGCTGTACTGGCTATTGGATCCAAGCCGAACTTGGTACTGATATTGCTTGATGACCAAGATCAGGTCCTAGGGGGCATGGACCCATACCCTAATATCCAGCGCCTTCTGGGTAAAGGTGGGACAAACTTCACAAATTTCTTCGTTAATACACCTGTTTGCTGTCCCTCACGAGCAGAGTTGATGGGAGGCCGTTACGGGCACAATAACTTAGTCGGAGATCTTCGATCTTCCGGGGGTTCTACAGGGTGCATGTGGGCAAACGTCACCGGGTCGTACTTCGTCCACAACCAGCTCGGTAGCTACCTGTCCAAGCTCGGGTACACGAATGGCTTGTTTGGAAAGTACATGAACTCTCCCGCATGCTCTTGCCCGGTGGAGGCAGGCTGCAGCAAACTGCCCAAGGGTGACCAGGCTGTGCCACCCGGGTGGGACAGATGGTTCGCACTTTGCAAGATGGGGAAGTACTTCAGTAACAGTTATAACGATGATGGTCAGGAGGTGTCCACGGGAGATGCACCACAGGACTACATGACTTCCGTCATTGGAAACAGGACCATTGAATGGCTGCACGAGGTTGCCGGAGCTGGACGTCCGTTCTTTGCATACGTCGCACCCCACGCGCCTCACATCGCAGATAAACAGTTTCCGTACATCACACAGGCTGCTCCGTGGCACGCCGGTGCTGCTGGCCATGCAAAGGCACCCAGAACTCCTAACTGGAACGTTCCAAATCCAGGAGCGCATCCCGTGATTTCCAGCCAGCCGAAAATGGACGACCTGACGGTGAATTGGAGCGATTCCTTGTATCGCTCTCGCGTGGAGTCCATGATGAGCGTGGACGACCTGGTGGCAGAAGTGTTCCATGTTCTTGGCAGCAAGGGTGTTCTCGACAACACAGTTGTCCTTCTCACGTCAGACCATGGATATGCGCTAGGTCAGCAGGCAAGGCCGAGTGGGAAGTTCAATGTCTATGAAAACGACATTCGTGTGCCTATGCTCTTGCGAGGTCCCGGAATTCAGCACGGGGCCCGCGTAGATGCTGTCTCTGGCATCGTTGACATTGCTCCCACATTGGTGGAGCTCGCTGGGGGGGATCCCGACATTATGGAGCTGGATGGACGGTCGCTGGTGCCTCTTTTGGGCAACAGCTCGCCGGCAAAATGGCGCAAGTTGTACCCTATTGAGTACTGGAGCTTGGGAAATGTTGATCGTGGCTTTCCACAAAGTCCACAGTGTAACCCCAGCGAGGGCGCAGACTGCAAGAAGAGTTGGTGCACCTGCCACTACCACCGTGTCGATGGTGAGAACAACACCTACTTGGCCGCTAGATACATCGCTGAAGACGGGGACTTCCTTCTCGCAAACTTCTATGCTGACAGGACACCTTCAGGTGACTTGCCTCGCATGTTCCATGAGCTGAACCCGGTCTTCACTGAGTTCTACGATCTGAAAGCGGATCCATGGCAGATGAACAACCTGTACCCGCAGGTGGAAGCCGAGCGCCCGTCACTCCTGCGCCGTCTTCGACGGGTGCTTTTTGCAATGAATCGCTGCAGTGGACGCTCGTGCCGCGAAGCTGACATCGAGGAAGACAGTTTTGTTACAGTTTAGTCCTCCCTACCGCGAGACCAAGTCTGCACTTGGCACGACTTGTTCATCGAGGCCGTTTAAAATTCAGAGGCTGCACACTGCTATGCTGAGGTGCAGACTTGCGCAGCTCAGAGTTTAGAGGAGTGATGCGCCCGAAGTGCAGTCTGTTTCGCGACGACTCCATGATAAGCAAAATCAGGCTCGTGTTCACGCATTGTTGTACTGGTTTTGTAACCACACACACACACACACACCACACCACACACACACACACACACACATATATATATATATATACACACACACAAGCACACACGCCCCTGTCAGGATCCGTTGCTTGGTGCTTGGAGACTTTCCAGCTTGCAAGTGAGAGGGTGCGG